CTCAAGGATTCCAGCCAAGATTTCTTGAGACCTGGTGCTGACCAGGCACCCCACCCCAACTGTGACCGTTTGGGAGGGAATGTGGATCAGAAGCTCCCACGAGCCCCTGGGAAACCTGTAAATCATGCCATCTCTTCCTTTAGGCTCCAAGCTCTCTCTCTCTGGCTGGCCAGTGAGGGAGCCGGCGGGTCGGAAGGAAAGGCTGTGGGGATGGGCTCGCTGACCCTCCCCCATCCCACACTCACCCCCCCTCCACAGTGTAGAATGTAGACGCTGTTCTCAAGGGCGTTGCTCGATGATTTAGAGTTTCTATGAGAATATAAAGGTATAAACAGGCCATCTCAAAGTTCCTTCACGAGAAAAAGTTTACTGTTTATTGGGAAACTGAACATCCACAAGAAGCCAAAACCGGTCTCAGATGATTTCTGGCCGTACATTAAATTCCTAAGCCGAAAACAAATCACTCTTTCTGCGGTCAAATGAGAGGACACTTTTTTTTTTAAGCTCTGAGTCCTTTCTAAAAGGCATTTTCGAGAAAAATGACCATAACCAGGCCCTGGCTAACAATGGGAGTGGTGATTCGGAGGCTCCCGCAAAGTAAGGTTTGGCCCTGTCTTCTCCCCGTGCAGACAGACCCGGGCTAGGATAGCGGTGCCCAGCAAGCGGCATGAAGGGGAGCCCGGGGGGGACAGGCCAACCCTATTCACCGTGCAGCCCTCACTCCAAGGAAGCAAACCACACTCCGTCAGACCGTATGTCGCTTGAGGACAGAGAGCACTGGCTGTACCTGCAGCTCTTACCCCGGTGCCTGGCCCACAGCAGGCACACACTGAAGTTCTGTCGAGGGAACGCCTGGCCCGATAAGCAGATGACAACTACGGACCCGGACCAAGGACGCTGCACAAGCGCCTTGAATATTGCCAAGTCCAAAGGCGGGGCAACACCGGGTTTCTGAGGGCCACTCTGTTTGCAGCCCTGTCCACCTAGCTGTTCCCTACACTCCTGCCAGTGCGTGAGCTCCGGTGTTCAGGGCTCCACCGGGTCTCCTCCAAATGGATCTACATCAAGAGCCCCGGCCACTCCCCAGGACCTTCACAGAAGCCGATGACACTAAGCTGTCTCAGGGAAGGACCGGAGATGGCTTCACTGACTTGAGGTTGTCTCTCACTCTACAGCTGCCAATGGCAGTCTGTCCTCTTCCTTGGGACACCACCTTCCTTCCTTCTGGATCTTTTCTGAGCTGACCCAACACCTTCTCTGGGCTTCTTTTATTTCCTTTTCCTAACTGACTGCTCTGTTGCAGCTAAATATTCCTGTGCTCAGGGTGGTTGTGCAAACCTGGGTTAATGGCATTGAACACTCGGCCGGGCACACGCATCAAAGGGCTTCGAGATTTCAGGTTTCCTTTCCTGACCACCGCCTTGTCCAGATGATGCGGGTGAACCACTTCCCCGCACCAGCTCAGAGGGCAAGGGCAACACCGGAAGGGAAGGGGATGCACCCGCGGGGAAGGGCAAAGAATTCTGGGGCCCTCAGACGATGGAAGATGACATGGGGCAAAGGGGAAAGAGCTGAGATGCAGAAGCAGGAATCATCACCTCTTCAAGAAGGAATATGATAGATCTGTTTTGTCCAGTGACCTAGATGACAGAGAGGCATGGCCTCAAGAAATTCTTAAGACGATGAAATGCTGTGATCTCCACGGGATAGTTTGCGTGCAGGACCATCTGTTTCGTTTTTCCTTAGAGATTAATGATTTAAAACTAGAGCTTTATGAATCAAAAATATAGTGTGCAGGCCTTCCCAGGGAGTCAATAAACAAAGGGCCCCCAGACTGAGCTTCCTGCGTGCACTGGGCCTGCAGAACCCGTCTTGCCCACTAGAGGGAAGCACCAGATCAGCCACGGGCGTGGGCCTATTTCACTGCTGGTCTGCACTCTGATTTTTTTTATTATTATTATTTTTTCTTACTATGAAATTTATTGTCAAATTGGTTTCACTCTGATTTTAGATTTGAGGACAGTTGGATCTGCTGTCTACTGATCAGGAAACCAGAAGGCAGAGGGATACGGAGAAGAGGAAAGTAGAATCCAGAAGCGGTGGTCATCCGTATTTAAGTCAGAAAATTCCAGCACCCCAAATGAGATGAGTCCTCTCAAAGGGAGCCCGTATTGGGTTGAGCTTCTTGTTGAAAAAAACAGACAGCTGGGTGGCTCAGTCAGTTAAGCGACCAACTGTGGCTCAGGTCATGAGCTCAGCGGTTTGTGAGTTCGAGCCCTGCGGCCGGCTCTGCGCTGACAGCTCAAAGCCTGGAACCTGCTTCGGATTCTGTGTCTCCCTCGCTCGCGCTCTGCCCCTCCCCCACTTGCTTGCATGTGCGCTCTCTCGCTCTCTCTCAAGAATAAGTCAACATTAACAACAATTTTTTTTTTAAGAAAAAAAAGAAAAAGAGGCTTAGAACACAGCAACGAAAGGTGAACGTGGACAAGGACAGAGTTTTTCGGGGGTGGTAAGAGACGCACCAAGAAGTCAGAGGGGACGCTGACAAGCGGGAAGGAGGAAGTGTTGCAACCGAGGGCCCACGTTTTATAGGCAGCTAGTTCCTCCCCAGCCAGAAGCTTCCTCGAAGCGTGGCCACGTGTGCCCGATGCGCGTGGGGCTAGGCCAGGCTCTGTACTCACTATCTGGCAGAGTCCGAGAGCTGATACTCCCTCCTCCTGTCGTAACACTCCTGGATTCCCGGGTCCTGCCACAGCTGCTTGATGGCCTCCACCTGGTCCCTGGAGAGCGCACAGACCTTGTCCACTTCCACTTCTCGGATGAGCTGGGCATTTTCCTAAGTGAAGGAGAGAGATGCTTTTGGTGGGCAAAGGCAAAGGAAGCCACCCCGCTGGTGACATGGGGACAAGATTTCCCCCGGTCTGTGGATCCGGGAAGATCTCACTAGATGCCCGGGGCCCTCCAGGGGAGCCGCTCGCAGGCAGGCACTCAGCTACGGTGCAGACGACGTGGCTGCTGAAACCGGGCAGAGCCACGGACAGACCAAGACCCGCAGCTTTCGGTCCCAGCGGGACCCAGGGGCCACTTTCACCAGCGTTCAATACCCAACTGTGAACAGAGAAGCCCAAGCGCGAGGGATCCTCACTGTCATCGGGGCGTCTGCATCTCAGGGCAATTTGAAAAGAACCATTTTTATCGTCCTGGCGTACAAGGGTGGGGTGGTGAAGGAGGTCCACCTCCGTGCAGTAAGGGACTGCCGTGCCTTCAGAGAATAGCCAATTCGATGTCAGTCTGCTGTCTTTGTCCTCTTTCCCTTCTTTTGTTTTTTTTTTTTTTCCTTCAGTAACTTAATTTCTTACAGCAGTTTTAGGTTCAGAGCAAAGCAAAGGAAGTGCAGAGAGTTCCCATCCATTCTGCTGTTTATCATCACGCATCACTGATACGACCCTTTCCCGTTGCAGAACCGCTCTCATTGCAACTCCCCATGCCAATGATTGCTGTAATATCGTGATGTTTATCGTTACTGTCATTAAATAACTCTTGCTCCTACACCACTGCTCCATTATTACCGTACTTGTTAAGATCGCCATGGCTGTAATTACCACTATTATAGCAGTTAACATGTATTGCCCACTTTGCATGTGCCGAGAGGTACGCACACATTATCTCATTTAATCCTTGTAGGGCAAGCACGGGGCCACACCTCTCACCAAACCTTAGCAATGAAAACGCTAAGGTTGGGTTACATCCTCAACATGACCACGTGTTGGCCGCAGAGGTCCAACATCCCATCCCTTGGCCGCATATTGCAGCGGACAAGAGAATCCTGCCGAAGGAGACGGGAACCCCGCCTTTCCTCTGCTCTGCCGTCCTGCCACATCTCAGGGCAATGACATCACGCAGGGCCGGCCACCCACCGGCAGCTGTCAGCAAAGCATCCGCTTAGCAGCTGTGATCTCCTGGAGTCTATACGGTACTCCCTGAAAAGTTGCTCCTGTCTTGCATTATTCATCCTCATTAACAGCCCGACAGGAAGCTGGAGAAAAGGGAGATCTTACAGATTCACTCGGCTCAGGGCAAAACCGAGGGCTGGGATGACATCAGCATGGCTCTGCACCCCACCCACCGAGGGTGGATATAAACTCTTTCCCTGGACCGTGGGAGGTCCTGCCTGGTCCTTGGCAGGTAGAAGACCCCGGGTGTAGAATCTCAAACAGGTGTAAGCAGAATAGATCAGTGGGAAGCGCCCCGGGCTGGGAATAAGGAGCTCGAGTCCGACTAGTGCAGCTGGGACTTTCAAAGACTCCAATGGTTACCGATCTCGGCATCCTCGTTTGTGAAAGAAGCCAGCGATTTTTCAAGGAGTCTGATTTATAAGCTAGTAAGTACCAGCCAAATGTGAGCAAAATTAGCCTTATCATTGTGGTGGACGCCTAATAAATATTTGTTTGCAAAAAGAGGGCACGCTCATAGCCTTTAAACCATGACTTCCAATCCGCCCACAAGCACATTGGACATCACCTGCCTTACTCTAAGCCAGAGAGAACGAAGAATGGAGAACATGGACAGAGTCTGTAGGGAGCCAAAGGGTGGTCTTCTCCTTCCTCCCTGCCTCCCGCCACCGTCCTCCTCCCACGTACAATCACGTGGTCTCTTCCCACCTGGGGCATGGCTCTACGTAAAGTGTCTGTTTTCTTCCCCGTCTTCGTAACCGGTCAGGAAATGCCACAAGGGCAGAGCCAATGTCTTCCCTGTCCTTCTATCCCAGAACCTAGGGCAGTGCCTGGCAAATAACAGGTGTTCTAGTGATGCAGGCATCTAGCCAACATTTGGGGCACATAAAAAAAAAATCTACCTAACAGAACATCACGAGAAAATAACAGCAAAAGAACTTGAGGACAGTATGACAGAAGCCCGTGTCAGTCACAGCAAGAGCACAGAGGAGCTCGGAGGCAAGAAAGTGTCTCAGAGTAGGAACCGCTCTGGTGATTTCTGGCCAGTCTGTCGCTCTCACTCTGCCCCTGGTGGCAGGCAGGCGGAATCGTTGCTTCAGGGATGCCTGCCTCTTAGGCTGCTCTCCTAAATAGGACTATTTTAACTTGTAAAACGGTCATCTCCGCACCCAACGTGGTACTCAGGCTCACGACTCCGAGATCCAGTTGGATGCTCCACTGACTGAGCCAGCCAGGCGCCCCCTAAATATAACTCCTACTCTCAGCTTAACTCCTGAGAGAGAGCACTGTGAGAATCATCGGGATGTTACAAATATTCCCACCTCCCCTCCTCACAAATGTCATGGAGAATTGTACTTCACGGTGGGTGAAGCAGAAGTGGAACCAACACTTGTGTCTTTTAGAAAGAAACTTTAAAGAGCCACTGAGTAATTTACCACACTCCCTTTCATCTACTGGGGTGATGGTCAGGAGACAAGATGGAGCCTCAATCGGCCGGGCTTCCTGAGCAAGTTCAATGAGCGGAGATTCCCCCAACACACTGCACACATAGCATGAGCGAGAAATCACCTTTCATTGTGCTAAGTAAGCTGAACTGTGGGGGCAGTTTGTTCCTGGAGCACAACCTGCTCTCTTCTGACTGGCCCATGTTACAATGGAGAAGTCCAGTATTTGACTCTGGCAGGAGAGAGAGAGAGAAAAAATGCAGCCCCGTGAGATATCCCAGAGGAATGTAGGCTTCTACATGGGCACCCAGTCGGGGCCGGGAAGGGGGTACAGAGGCTGTGGAAAGACAAATCTGAGCTTTCGGGGAACCAGGGAAGCTCAGCCAGGAGAGCAAGATCTAGTTCAGCCAAGTGAGGGGACTATGGAGGGACCCGGGCTTGAAAGGAGAAGGGACCTCAGTCTCCTTACAAACCCAGCAATTGGGAACTGGATTTGGGACCCAGTGAATTCAAGGAGCCCAGACGTATTCCAAGTTTAGAGCTCTCCTCCTGGCTAAGGCTCCCACCTGTTGAGATCATGCTGTTTAAACTTACTTTGGAATAATGGAAGATGGGGAAAATGATAGAAGAGTTCCTCTGTGCCTTTCAAGATTGTCCCGATGTTGACGATTTATGGCCATGCCTTATCATCCATCCCCTTTCCAGACACACACGCACATAGACTTGCCACCTGAAGGACTTGAGGGGACATTGCAGACCCAATGCCTCTTCATTGCTAAAGACTTTGGTGTGATTTCCTAAAAACGAGGACCCTGGACTATAAAAACCACAGTGTAATGACCAAAAGCAAGAAGCGTAGCATTGACACAATATTGTGATCTCATCTTCAGACCTTCCCCAAAGTCTGTCAGTTGTCCTCTTTTTTTTTTTTTAATTTCTCTTTTTTAACATTTATTTATTTTTGAGACAGAGGGAGACAGAGCATGAACGGGGGAGGCACGGAGAGAGAGGGAGACACAGAATCGGAAGCAGGCTCCAGGCTCTGAGCCATCAGCCCAGAGCCCGACGCGGGGCTCGAACTCACGGACCGTGAGATCGTGACCTGAGCTGAAGTCGGACGCTCAACCGACTGAGCCACCCAGGTGCCCCTGTCAGTTGTCCTCTTAATGCCCTTTATCTGCCCCATCTAGGATCACATCACACAGTTACTTGCCTCCATGGTCTCTATTTATCTGGAAAGGTTCTACGGTCGGATATCATTTTGTCACCTGATCGAGAATGGCCTGACGAGGACATGAGTTTGGCTGGGAGGGAGAGTGGCCCAGCCACCGCCCACTGTGGGTCCTGTGGACCCCTGTGGATCGTTCCAGGAAAAAATATTGTGAAGGGTGGAGAGGAGTGAGAAAGTGAGTGACCCATTTTTAAATACATTTTATTGAAATATGAATGACTTTGAGGGGCCTGGGTGGCTCCGTCGGTTAAACATCTGAATCTCGATTGCAGCTCAGGTCATGATCTCACGGGTCATGGGTTCAAGCCCCACGGTGCGGACAGTGGAGCCTGCTAGGGATTCTCTGTCTCCATCTCTGTCTGCCACTCTCCCGTTTGCACATGCCCGCAATCTCTCTCAAAATAATAAAATAAAAAACGAAGGATGAATGACTGCTGTACTGTTAACGATGTCTGTGTGTTATAAAAAGTGGGGGGGCGCCTGGGTGGCGCAGTCGGTTAAGCGTCCGACTTCAGCCAGGTCACGATCTCGCGGTCCGTGAGTTCGAGCCCCGCGTCAGGCTCTGGGCTGATGGCTCAGAGCCTGGAGCCTGTTTCCGATTCTGTGTCTCCCTCTCTCTGCCCCTCCCCTGTTCATGCTCTGTCTCTCTCTGTCCCAAAAATAAATAAACGTTGAAAAAAAAAAATTAAAAAAAAAAAAAAAGTGGGGTTTTATACATATTTTCCCATGGCCTGGTGAAACACTTCCAAGCACAGCAGGAGCACTTTGATGAGCACGTTCTAACGAGGGCGCACGAGGAGCAGAGGGCCCCTGAGGCAACGTGGGAACACTTTTATGTTGTCTACGACTGGCCCCTTGGGGCGCCTGGGTGGCTCAGTCCGTGGAGCGTGTGACTCTTGATTACCGCTGACAACGTGATCCCGGGGTTGTGGGGTTGGGCCCCGTGTTGGACGCAGGGCTGAATGTGGAGCCTGCTTGGGATTCTCTTTCTGTCTTCCTCTGCCCCTCTCCCCTACTTGTGCTCTCTGTCTCTCAAAAGACTGGCTCCTTGAGCTGAAGGTCTAAAATGGCGACGGTAGGAAGTCCCTCAGCTCCCCTGCGGCACCCCCCTGGGGGGACACACCAAATCCGCATCTATCTACAGAGCAACGCTGAGGGCTGACTGAACAGCTTCTGTACCACAGAAGCTAGAGAGACCACACAGAGA